TGACACAGTTTAGCACCGCAAAAGGACGTATCAGTGTTTTTCCATGCATAAAGTGTGTTACAATTGGACAGTAAGACCCATTGATTTCTTTGAATGTACAGATCGTCCCTGTAAAGAGAGAGTGGCAATATAAGATCGCGTTCAAGTGTGGCAATCGATAAGAACTTTGTAGTGGCGAATAATTGATTTAAAATACCCAAACTAAAATATTGGCATACCTTGCATGCACCTGCTGCTACAATCAAATAAATGAGTGAGTTCTTGTCCAAATAATTATGTACTCTTAGCCTTGTGTGGTCATCCTGATACAGCTGTGCCCGGTAAAGTAGAGCATCATTGCGGTGTGAAGAAAGTGTCACTAATTGAACAATATGACCAACTACTTTTTCTGAGTGTAGGCTTGACTGACTTATTGGAGACTTTGTGACGTTTATCAGTGTACACAGAACATGTGTGACGTATTTAGGTTTTTCTGTATATAATTTTACTATATAATTCAGTGACTTTATAATATAATATATAATATTAGGTTATATAATATTATACTATATATATTACTATATCTTAAAAAATTCTAAATTATTTATGTATAATAATTTATAATAACATATTTAGTATTCAATGACCATCCAACAACAAACAAGCAAGCAAACAAACCACTTTTCTCTGCTGGCTGGTCGTCTCAGCTCGGTCGGTATTCCACATCACGCGAGGCTGTCCAGTTAAACAGCAACGCATAACTGCGCCCGACCTGCAGCGTCTGACGCGTAGCGTCGGGGGCCTCTAATTTCTTAAAAGGTTGTCTTCAATAAAACATTTCTTCCTAATGCTACGATGAGCTCTAAAAATCATGCAATTTATGAGCGAAAACTTTGTTAATGTCTGGGGCAAGATTTTGTGCCTCGTGACTTGTTCGATATTTCTATCTGAGCCTGAGGACTGGGAGTCGTTACTCAATTTTGTAGGGGATAAGTAAGACTCCATCTGTCTAGAGAACTTATCTTGATACGGGGTGGCAATACATGAGAGTTACATTAGAGATATAGGCTATGACGGCGACCGTTAACCGGAGTAACTCTAACGAATGTTACATGGCTGCGTACTTGTCAGTTACTGGGGCCTTACTAAGGTTCCCAGCTCTTTTTATAGAATCATGGCTTCCGCCCACTGCTGAGGTCTTGATCGCGTGATGTGTCACGTGATGTTGTCCAGACGCTGACTCAGGTCTAGTACTTTTGCATCAATTTCTACTATGCCTAGTTAATATTACATCTCAATTACAGAACATCTAATCCTATAATATAATTAGAATGAGACGCTTGCTTGACACCGGACATTAACATCATTTATGAAGACATCTATCTGGGCTTGAACAAGATATGTTGAATGGATTACTTTTTACGTGGTGCAATATTCATAGTTTCCCAGAAAACAAGTTTCCTACTTAATAACAAACCCCATAACGTAAGATTTCACGAGTGATTAGCACAATGTCATGAGCACCAACATGATGCATAGGTTGTAATTTAACACGGCATCTTGTTAATAATTACCCAATTAATTATAGTTATTATCATGCGTCACCTTCCCCCGAATACCTGACTCCCTCTTGGGAATTTCATCTTATAACAAAAATTTCTTTCATTATTCGTAAGCCTTTTAATCGGCTATAATTTATTAATGATAGGAGTTCGGTATCCCTTGCAGCTTGAAGCTTTCGATAAAATTAATTAACCAAAAGCAATCACACGTTATACTAATGACGGTCTTAGTCCCATTCATTATTTTCTTCACATGTATAAATAAGCGTCTAATAGTGTAACCTCATTGCCATCCATGCACGGAACGTTTAACGCAACAGCTATTTACACGATGTAATATGTATCGTCAGTACCATGCACACGATGTAACGTTTAACGTCAGTATCATGTACACGATGTAACATTTGACGTCAGTGCCATGTACACGATGTAACGTTTAACGTCAGTACCATGCACACGATGCAACGTTTAACGTCAGTATCATGTACACGATGTAACATTTAACGTCAGTATCATGTACACGATGCAACGTTTAACGGCATTACCATGTACACGATGTAACGTTTAACGTCAGTACCATGCACACGATGTGTTGTTGTAATTGCCCATCCTGGTAGTGGCAACTAGGTAAGGGAGGGGGTGATAGGTCAGTTTTTCCGGGCACTTGGTGCCACTGGTAGTTCCACGACCATCACTGGCTCGCTGACCCGCCAGAACCATTTTTGCATTACACAACACCCTGGACAAGCCAGGTACTCATTTATCATTTACTCATTTATACTCATCATTGGATGAATGGCTGAGTTGACCATGAGCTGAGCTTCCCGGTAGAACTTTGTCCTCAGTGGGACTCGAACCCGGGAGCTGGGTGCGAGCGACAGAGTCTCTCACCACTGCACCACCACAGCTCCTATGGTCCATTACTGTAATGGTCCATTACATCAAGGGCAGTGGTGGTCTTCGGCAGGCGACCCTCAATAAAACCTTTCTTCCTAATGCTACGATGAGCTAGAAAAATCATTCAATTTATGAGCCACATTATGTTAACAGCCTTTATGTGGTCCCCTGAGGACAAGTTCCCCATTTAATAACAAACCACATCACGCAAGATTTCATGAGTGATTAGCGCAACGACTAGAGCACCAACATGATGCAAAGGTTATAATTTAACGCGGTATCCTATTAACAATTACCTAATTAATTGTAGAAATTATCGTTCGACACCTTTCCCCAGTTACTTGACTACCTTTTGGAAGTTTCTCCTCATAATGAATCGCTTGTTGCATGAAACTTACGATAAAATTCTTTAATTAAGAAAAATATCTATGTGTTTATGCACAATTTTGGCTAATGGAGTGAGATGGGAACACGTCAACATTGTAAAATACCAGAGGTGGGCAGTAGCGACCGCTACATTTTAAGTAGCGGTAGCGGTAGCGCCCGCTACATATTTAGGCAGCGATACGAGGTTTTGCCGCTACAGCGCTACCGTAACATTTATAGATAAAGCCTTTAAATTTTACTTAATAGTATTCAATATTATTTCAACCAGCTGTTACTAGTGTCAAAATGTTAGTTGTTACTTGTCAAGTTGTTACCAGTGAAAGCGCAGCCGTGCACCACCAATTTTGTGCACCAAGATCGAAGCCCTGAATCGAACGCCTTGGATTTCTCCGGACATCCACCAATCAGCCGTGAACCACTCGGCTTTGTCCACCTCCGGCCTGGCATAAAACCTGCCGTGCACCACCAGGCCGCGGATCGAATATGACTTCCGGGCGTCGCTAAATTACGTAATTTTACGTTCACCGTATCTAAGGTTAGGTTTCAGATAGCAAAGTTCTGTTCCAAAATTTATCGTCCTTCGACGAGTGGCCGTTCGACCGAGGGCTGGTTCGACCCACGGCTTAGATACGGACGGCTTGAAGTGTTGAAGGCTACGTTCCGGAAGGCAGGAATCATGATAGTCAATTACATCCTGGGCAGTGGTGGTCTTCGGCAGGCGACCCGTTACCAGTTACCACTCACAGGTATTTTTTCATGTTTCAGTTTGCTTACAGTTATTTTTATGTTTCATCTTCCCTACATGGATGTCTACTTTAATCTACCAATCTCAAAAATAATCCACATATATATACAAATAAAGGACTGATTTTTATATGTATATGTGGATAATTTTTGAGATTGGTAGATTAAAGTAGACATCCATGTAGAGAAGGTAAAACATAAAAATAACTCTAACTTTTATTTACTGTATCTAACCCGTACTAGTTCGGTTAGGTTAATTGCAAAAATATGTTTATTGCAATTGTTTGAACAATATAATATTGCATTGATATGTTTTGAAAATGTTTTATTATCAATAAATGTTTATGAGTAAATCCCAAGAGCAGAACAATGAATATTTAGAGATTTCCAATAATTTTGGCCATTGTAGCGGCTAATGTAGCGGCGCTACATTTTACTGTAGCTGTAGCGGTAGTGCTCGCTATAATCTAGTGGGTGTAGCGGTAGCGGTAGCGGTAGCGCCCGCTACATTTAGTCTTATTACAGAGCTGGGCAGCGCTACTTGGAAATGTAGCGGCGCTACCGCTACCGCTACATGCTCTAAATGTAGCGGGCGCTACCGCTACCGCTACATGCTCTAAATGTAGCGGGCGCTACCGCTACCGCTACATGCTCTAAATGTAGCGGGCGCTACCGCTACTGCTACACCCACTAGATTGTAACGGGCGCTACCGCTATCGCTACAGTAAAATGTAGCGCGCTACATTAGCCGCTACAATGGCCAAAATTATTGGAAATCTCTAAATATTTATTGTTCTGCTATTGGACAAGGTTTGACTTATATATGGGAGGGGGAGGAAGGTGGGGGGGGGGGTAAAAATGTGAAAAAAATGGGAAGAACGCGAAAAAAACGACGAGGAAAATAAAAAATCGGGGCTCTACAGTCGCTAGATATTGTTGTTACAAATCGAATGATATGTGTCTCGACATTGAAGCATGTGATTTGCAAAAGTTATAAACTTTTTAGAGTACCCCTTATTTGCCGTTTTCTATTAATTCCACGTTTTCTTTCATTTTTTTAAATTTACATGAACAAAAAGGTCTTAGATTTCTGTTTTACATATGTGTACCAAGTTTCAAAACGGTCCGTCTGTAAACAAAAAAGTTTTGTTGGAGGGTAGCCGGTCCCCTTAAGTAAAATCTAAGGCTTTATCTATAAATGTAGCGGTAGCGCTGTAGCGGCAAAACCTCGTATCGCTACTTAAATATGTAGCGGGCGCTACCGCTACCGCTACTGAAAATATAGCGGCCGCTAGTAGCGGCCGCTACATGTAGCGCGCTACTGCCCACCTCTGGGCCAAATTAGTATGAAACTATGTTGACTAACATAGGTAAAAAGACGCATATTAAATATTTATTTATTATTATACATAAAAAATAGATATCACAACATTATAAGTTAAGTTTTTTATTATTTTCAACAATAGATAAATTCGGAGCTTCTTTCCCTTTAGCTTCGTAGATTTCAACTTTATCTTCAGGTTCTTTGTAAAGTTCGACTTCTTTGCTGTATATGAAGACCACGATATCTCCTATAATTGACAGAAGCATCAGACCTGTTAAGAAATAAACAAAGAGAGATTAAAACACTCCAGGTCCGCACTATAAAAATTTACATTAATGCAAGCAACGGCTGATTTCTCGTCTACGATTTGTGAGTTTAGATTGAAATGCCGTCCATTATTGGCTGACGGAGTTACTAACATGTTTGTATCTTTAGAGAAAGACATCAATCCTGGGACACACAATAAAAAATAGTCACGTGCGCGTAACTCTTCTTGACAGTATGCCCCAGGATGTAAGCCTTATTCGGAGTGACAAATATCATTATGCGTCCTGGAACATAACATATATTACTGGACCATAAACAATGTACAGGAAAAATTAAAATATTTATTATTTTCTTTTCGATTGCTTATACTATTAATTATCTTACTTATATTAAGTAAGACTCACTTCCTGCCACGAGGTGCATCAATAATCTGAACTTGTCCGAGTCGTAGAGCCAACAGTTGCCGCGCTGTCCGCATTTCCTGTCCCACATCATACACGCAGAGTCTGTGAACGACTCACTTATAAGCATTTACATCGGAAAATTAAAGATATTGTAGAACAACAATATGTAGTAGAATACTAGGGATTAGGAGAACGCTAGTATATAGTATAAGAAAATAAGATGCAGTAGAACAATAATAAAATTGTATTATGATTGTAACAATTTCAGCTACTTCGATCGTTCAGTTTAATGCCATTGTGTAATTGGAAAACGATATTTTTGTAGTTCAATTGAGTAAAATACAACTCAAACATCAATTAATACATGTATTCTATAACTAAATTATGATGAATTATTATTTATAAACAGGAGTGAAAGTAAAATGAATCATCACATAGTCACGCTGTAATAATTTAATAGGGGAAAAATCCTACAGAATTATAAAATTGGGAAAAATTGTAAAATCATTCGGGAATGTTCTAAAATGATCGCAGAAAAATCAGTGAGTTAAATTGGTTACTAAAATCTGTGTGTATAACATAACATAACATAGTGATGTCGGCGCTGAAGTGTAGGCCTGATGTGGCCTGTCGCCGATTCTTTTCCTTTTCGTGCCTTGTTCATAGATCTAAACTCGTGTCATTTGACCGGATCTTTTCATGACTGGCGATAGTTTGAAGTAGCTACTAGACTTCCACCGGGTTCGATAAGGAGCTAAAGCCCAGTTAACTAAGCTGTCAAGATCATCTTGCAATTGCGCTTTATTTGACGCATTCTTCACTGTATTATAAACTTTTGTGTCGTCGGCATACATGGAGCACACGCTGGACACTACTTCCGGCAGATCATTAATAAAAGCAACGAACAAAATAGGCCCCAGGACGCTTCCTTGTGGCACGCCACTGCGCACTGATGCCCAGTCTGACACGGTTCCGTTAATACTGACACGTTGTCGTCTACCTACAAGAAAATCTCTGATCCATTGGAGTACGTTTCCCTCAATCCCCAAGGATTTCACTTTACGCAACAGCCGCTCATGCGGAACACTGTCAAATGCTTTGGCAAAATCGAGGTACCATGCATCCACTGGCTCCCTTTCGTCCAGCAGGCGAGTCCAATCGTTCAACGTAGATAATAAGTTAGTGGTGCAGGATCTGCCGGCAATAAAACCATGTTGACAATCTGATATGAGATGGTGAGCAGTCAAGTGATCGATAATCCTATCCCTCACAACAGATCCATCAGCTTACAAACAACACTTGTCAGACTAACAGGGCGATAGTTGCCGGGGCTGCTTTTGTCACCTTTTTTGAACAATGGTGTTACTTGAGCTTCTTTCCAGTCGGACGGCAAAGTACCTTCGTTCAAGGTTTTTTGAAAGAATACTGTCAATGGGCCGGCCAGAACGGATGCTAATTCTTTGAGCAATCTGGGATGGAAGCCGTCTGGTCCACATGACTTGTTGGGATTTTGAGCTACCAGGCGCTTGAGAACCTCTTCTTCGTGTATTTCAAAACATGTTAACTTCGAGCCGACTGGGCGCTCCTCAATATCTGGAATACTGTTGCCTTGATTGTGTTGGAAAATTGATGGGTATCATTAAAAATTGTTTAAAATCCTTTTGCATTAGTCAAATTCGTTAAAAAATCAGTTTTATACTTATTTCGCGCCTTTTAATTTTCAACTTCCCAACAACGGCGCCCATAATGATGGGGCCCGGAATGAAGCCAAACAAACGGTACAAGACTGTAATGACGCCAAGTGCCAGCGCTTTATCTCCTTCATAAACAGACCTGCGCACGCAAATATATATATTAATATATTTTGTAAATTTATATATCCACTTATCCGGACTTTAATTATTTTATTCTAAATTGCAAAAAAGGTAAAAATAAACTGACCTGGCTAGACCTAACCCCTGTTGATTGGTCTCTTGCAACGTAAAAAAAGGATTTTATTCACACCTAACCCTAACTCAAACCCTAAACTAACTAGTTTTTTGTTTTTTTTTTGATGTCCGGTAGTGTAGTTCATTGATTTTTGCGTCCGGTTTTCAAGCACAAATTAATTGCAGAGTACACAACCGGACGCGATTTTGTCCGGGATTGTAACCCTTGTCCGGTAATGTTACCAATTCTGTCCGGCTATTTTTAGACTTACATATTTTATAATACATATATATAGATATATTGATCGTAAAATGATATATACCGGGAGACTACGGATGGATAGGTAATAATTTACGATACTGCATGGACTACTAGCTCTACAGCATTATTTATTGCACATTACTTACTTCCTAAATTTATTCATCTATAACAGTAAAAGTTGTTATAGAGCCGGAATTATTCTAAAATTCATTCTACATAAAAAACATCGCCTTAATATGAGTGAATTACTCATTTCACAATTGAAATAACGAATTGTTTATTCCCGTAAATCTCACCGCAGGAATACCATAGTGCCTCCCACGCTGCCAGTAGCAGTGATCAGTTTACTGACGATGGTGAGGCCGATGTAAGTGAAGAAACTCGAGCACTCGTTGGGACAGTAGCCGTCCGCGGCCCAGCCTCCTGACGAGGGGCTACCGTTCACAGGGGCGTTGTTGTAAACCAGCGACGACGACGCAGCGCTCGAGTCCTGTGAAAATGTTTTAACTTGTTTGGACGTTTTATAGCGCCGCATTGGGGTCCATGATAATTACTTATGAGTATTAATTAATTAATAACATCAAATTGCATTGATATTAAATTTTTTGGGCCCAGGGACAATTTTTGATAAGTAATATAACGTTTCTTACCCCACGAGTGAGTCCGTACATACTTTTTTAAAATGTACTTTAACTTTTATTTTCTATCACATTAAGGTCCTGGGAATATTTTTACAATGTGATTGAATTTCTCCCATTAAGAATATTTCTGCCAGGATCATATTTCAGCTAGAACGAGAACATATGTTAGGAACACATGAAATAAACTTTCTTTTCTCGAATATAATATAAAGTCGAAAAATTTAAATCCAAATTGAATGAAGGAGTCATGGCTTAATGACCTTTTCTTTTAGCGTAAGTATCGAGATAGGTAGAATAATGTCTTGATTTTAATTGTAAAGCATAGAGATAACTGTGAATTCCAACCATGATGTAAGCAAATATTCATTTCTTTCAAGAATGCCGCTTAAATTTAGAAAACTCTTTGTAATTGGCTTTAGAGTATTAATAATTTAATATGATTTTGCACAAAATTAATGGGAATAAATACGGGTCATCACAATTTAACGCTAGTATTCACTTACGAGTGTCTGTATAGAAATTAGCGGATCCGCAATGCACGCGCAGTCACCGTGGACCTGTATGAAAAAATTAGTACTCTCTGGGAATACTTCAATCATGGGTAATAGTTATTGGTTTACATAATTTAGAAATAACTCGTTTTAAATTATTATCGCCCTAAAACTTGTCAAGATGTCAATGCAATGCAATGTAAGGCACGAACATATTGTTCAAATGTACACAAATCTGCTCACCAGTTCAGAACCATTTTTCGACAGTGAAGTGCAGCCGGCATAGCAGGCAGAGTAATAAGTTTGTAACCCCTGGGAACACACAGGCTGGAACTTGGTACTGCACTCGCGAGACAGCGAACACACTCTGTGAACAAAAATATGCAGAAGAAATAAAAACGCATTCTGTGAACAAAACTGTACAGCTGAGAAGAGAAAACACTCTGGAAATAAAAATATGCAGCTGAAATGAGAATACAATCCGTGAACAAATATATGCAGCTGACATAAAAACGCATTCTGTGAACAAAACTGTACAGCTGAGAGGAGAATACAATCCGGAAATAAAAATATGCAGCTGAGATGCAGAAAATTAATGCATGGAGGTTAAAGGAATATATACTGTACACTGTACGACACTGCAATGATGCAAGCAGTAATATACAGAAACTATAGCAACACACTTTATAAGTTTTAATACGCGACAGTGATGAATGCAAATATTCATGGGGCCATAAAACATATCCAGTTCACTTATGGTTGTATACCGTTTACTCTTATGTTTAGAGTGAATATATTAATGACATATCTTGTTACTCGACATAATTAAATATTACGGCATAATTCTAGTGAAATTATTTCTAAAGATGTTCTACAAAGCTGAAAAATTTTTCAAAACTTTGTATCTAATGTTATTTATTATACAGAAAACGATTAGGAAGAATTAAACTCACCCTTCAATTCCGAGTATATTGACGCCAGGACACTTTACGAATGCAAGCGTGAACATAATAGAGGCCGACACTATTGTGACGAAGAAACTGTAGGCTGCAACATATCGCGCTCTTGGCTGCTTCCACTTCGTCACCACGCCACCAAGTATACTACCGAACACTGATGCTATCAAGCTCGTCACTCCTGCAGGCAGAAGGCTTACAGTGAAATGTAATAACATGAAGTAAAGAACCTGAGATGTGCTTTGCTTGAAGCGATCGATGAACGACGCGAACAAAGTTAAAAAACATTCAGCGTCAAACTTCCAACGACTAGAAGTCAGATGATAGATAATCTCTAAGATAATCATCGATCTGTCAGCTTTGAGGTAGTGTAGTAATCAGGAATGCGGTATCAGGATGAAGATTCACGTATCAATCTATCCAAGAGAAGTGGCTTCATTAGTTTAAGGAGACATTCGCTTTCTAAAGCAAAGTAATGAAAATTGTGTTAACTGTGTGTCTACCTAATAATATACACATATAACACGTGTGTCTTGGATGCAAAATTTTCCATACATTTCACTGACCGCTTGCTGTGAATGCTATGCTAATTTATTAATTATTATTAACATGAAGTCTGAAAATGGGATTTCAATTTTGCGCAGCGTAACTTCTACTATTATGTTAGGATAGTAAAATCCCTAGGATAATGAAAGTAATGAATATTTTGAATGCAAATCGTTAGATTTGCTAACAGGAAAGATACAAAATGATCGTTTCCTTGAAAATCTTATAAATCTGACCTGTGTAGAAGTTAGCTTCGCTGGCACTTATGTGGAACTGAGTTTCGATATACTTTGGCTCGAAACTCGAGTGCCCCGAGAAAGCGAGGACCACGCAAGCCGTGGCAAAGCAAGTGCCGATGTAGACCTTGTTACTGAACAATCTTTTCATTCCCGAAGGAAGTTCTGTGATGCATAAAAAATTTGCAATTTTTAGTGAAACAGGAGCAGCTTTCTAGTGAAACAGCTGCAGTTCGTAATTGTAGAACAACAGAAGACGATTCACAAGTAACAGAGTCCGAAATCATGGCAGACTTTTGATGGCACACGTTTTTTTTCAGGATGATAATTGATATGCTTCACACTATTTAATTCATCAGGTAAATTCGTTTAAGAAACTTTGACGTGGGAACAAAAAACAGCCAAATGATGAACGTGGGCACGATCCTGCGACTATCAGGAGAATAAATTTAGAAGGAGAATTACGATTGTCCAAAGCATTTCTTGACACTTTGTAAAACTTTTTTTTTTAAATGCAGCAAACACTATTCGTTTTAATCTCAAATCATTCGATGACACAGTATGGCTTCGTTATTACTGATTCAGTACTTATTAGTAGAAAATCAATATATTTACTGAATACATTCTGAATATTTTTATAAAATATATAGTAAATCTCAATAACAAATTTAGTGCATTTTATTAGTATTTTATCTGTTCACAATATTAGCCAGTTGTTGCTCTCAATGACGTCGCTCATTTAACGTTCTACAACTAATTTGGAATTGTTTTACGAATTTTTTCCGGAACCCGTATCTGGGATCATCAATGGATTTAGGTGATGAGATACTAGATTTTGAGTATCTCCGATGAGATACTCAAAATACGATTTTCACTGTTCCCTTTACCACGTTTTACTGCCGCTGGGATCGCCGCTCTCTGAAAGTCGCTTGCTCTCAAGTCTGTAACAATTTTGAACAATCTAACAATTTGTACAAATTTTACTCAACTTGATTTCGGTTTTTAACTTGTGTTTATCTAGCTCTTGCATTTGCAAGCCGCTTATTCTCAAGTCTGTAACTGAGTTTTTACAGCCCTTTGAAACTTTACAATTTTTACTTAACTTGTTTCAGTTTTATTGTGTTTTTTCTTTGGCTCTTGCATTTTATGATGGCTGGTCAGAGAGGAAAAAAATTAAATGAGATATGGAAAGATCGGGTTCCAAAGGCCGGATCCCTTGTGAATCAAGTCACGAAAAGTTCAAGAATCGGCAACAGGCCATGGGCCTATGTCTTCAACGCCGACACTTCTATTCTATTCTATTCTATTCTAACCGAAATTTGCACGCACGATTACTCACTTTTTAGGGAAGGCTTGGTATGCTTCTTCTTCTGCCGAGTGAGGTTAAGGTAATGGTCCACGGAAAGTACCTCACTATTCGGCGGATTTTCCATGATTTCCGCTCTTTCGAGTCGCTGGATTTGGGCTGCGAGGCTCGACGAGAGTTGCTTCGGAAAGAACATCAAAGAGAAACCCGATATGGCGAGTAGCGTCCCAAGGATCAGAAAACCTGATCATATACAAATTGAATTTGCTTACACAATATTATGGTCTAGACTCTAGCGCAACCTCTGCGTCTAATATGGAACTTCTAAGTAAAGTTAAGATTTCTTCAATATGTTGAATTTCTTATGGTTTTACTTCCCGGCTTATTTGTAACAAAATTGAACGTGATAGTACGATAACGCATTAATAATGAGATGGATTTGGCATGAGCATACAAGATTGGTCAATAATTTGGAAGTAATGGAACTCTAAATATTACGAACGTTCATGGTAAGAATTAACACTCCATCTAGCCACTCAATTTTTGCACCGTAATATAGGCTGATTCAAATGCATTCAATAATTAGAGAGACGTTTTAATCATTTCTAAAATAAAAAGTAAATGAATTTTTGAAGAGTTAGACGTTCTAATTTTGTCCACTGTTTCAGTAGTATTTTTTTATCATACTTAAAATAAGATTAAATTGTCTGTACGCTAACTGTGATTCTGGTTTTAAGTAACTGAAATGTAGAAAGTACAGTTCAATTTACACATTCAGTGTGGACAAAATTTGAATGGGACCACTGTACCCACTGAATAAGGCAACAAGCATAAGCTAAATCTATTTTCATATTCAGTGTGGACAAAACTGGAGTGGAATATACTGGAACTATTAGACTCACTGACACAGCTACCACGCGTAAGTTAAATTTATAGCATAGCATAGTGATGTCGGCGCTGAAGAATAGGCCTGATGTGGCCTGTTGTCGATTCTTGTATTTTTCGTGACTTGTCCACAGATCTAAAAACAGGTCTTTCGACCGGATTTGTATTCATATTCAGTGTATAAAACTGTAGCAGGATCTACTGGACCCACTAACCCAGCCACCAGGCCCCAAGCCAGCGCGGGTCCCGCCTGCTGATCTCTGGGTCGAGGCTCAGGTCGATCCAGTACGAGAGGCACTTGCTGCCCAGGAAGAAACCCATCACTGGACCCAGCATACGCCCCACCAACGCTATTCCTGCTCAATATAGTACAACAACCATAGCTCTTATTTAGTGCGTTTATATGGTTTCCAGTACATTACGGTAATATTGTCATACATTAACGTTTGGTCGATCGAGTAAGAAGGGCACTGGTTACCCAAAAAGAAGTCCATCACCGAGAATCATCGCTATTCCTGCGTAACCATAATAACCATAGGTATTATTCGATGCGTTTTTATTGTTTTCCGAATACTCCGTTAATTTATAAAAATTGTAATCAATTTTTTTTTTAAATGTTCCGAAAAAACGATTATTGATTACGTTTATATTGTTAGACGAGAACTTTCTGTTCAGTATGTCTATCATCATATTTGTGTTATAATTCATTTCCTATACGCCAGATCTCCGTACGGAGATCTGGCATTTTTTGATGAATCCTACGAAACAAGTTCAGTGAATAATATTTTTTAGCTCAAATTAACAATATTTGCATAAAGTATGGTTCTCAAAATATGTTAGATCTCCAGCTGGCACTACATGAGCAACAATATAATGTTTAGGACTACTCTTCCCCACTGAAAATTTTCTCGTATCTATGGGTACGCACACAGTGGAATCAGGTTTGCCCGCGCGGGCAACCTGCTCCAACCTGCCACAAGAATGAACATAGGATAATAATGTAAGTGTTCACAGTGAAAACCTGTACGAATAGGCTTCTGTATGCTATGGTTTCAACCTGCCACAAGAATGAACATAGGATAATAATGTAAGTGTTCACAGTGAAAACCTGTACGAATAGGCTTCTGTATTCTATGGTTTCAGACGCCAGCCTGAGCAGGTAACCAGCACGCTGGAAACCTGCTTTCACTGTGTACGTACCCTATGAACCTATTCTGCTGCCAATATATCCCGATCAAAGCGCTCAGTGTTGTTTTTTCAACGCCACTCGAGGCATGTTTGCAAGCAATGCATACATGTTTGCCCCAAGATGATGGTGAGACATAAAAAACTGGTCAAACTCTATAAAAGTTGATAAATCGAGGCTACAGGTTACATTAGAGAAGCTGATAACCTACCATAAGAAAACGTGATGATTATCCCCCTAACAATTAAGACAATTACTTCCAACCAAATTTGCCACGCAAACTAAACGAACCTATTACGAAACAGAATCCAAGGTGGGGGATATCCAAAACAACAAAGTTTCCTTCTAAAATTCCTGAATATGACAACAGGACTCCGTCCCAAAACCAGAACGGCCGTTGTCTGGTAAATCCGCTCTGATTGATCTGCATAATTTTCTTAGAGTCGAGATTCAGATGTCCTTAAACAGTGATCTTCAAAAGTGTGGGCATGACTGGTTATTGACCCCGTCAAGTCTCCGCTCCAGCATCATCCTCCAATGCCCACATCCACCCGCCACTTAGAACGAGATCAACGAAAAATAACTTTGCGATTTTTGTGAACAAGCACAATGAGTTGATCATGACGTACAATGAATTAAATGAAATACTGGTTCTCAGATTCGCATTAGCAACTCCATGTAAGATCACAGTACGCATTCAGCGAAGGTGTCGGACAAATTTACGGCTGGATTCGCAGCCGGTTTCGCGGCCGGTCACACGGTCAATCTCTAAATTCAATGACCAAGGAATATCTCCCAAAATAATGAGCGTAGCTCTATAAAATTTGGTACACGCACTCATTAGAACCTATCGTTGATGTTTAGCTCGTGAAATTTTTCTATTTCACCTTCATTCGTGACTTGTACAGCAATACGGACCGAAATTTGCAGTGACCAAGAAATTTCTTCTAAACTACTGAACAGATTAACACAACATAACATATCGATCTCGGCGCTGAAGTGTAGGCCTGATGTAGCCTGTCGCCGATCGTTTATAAAAGCAACGAACAAAATAGGCCCAAGAATGCTTCCTTGTGGCACGCCACTGCGCACTGATGCCCAGTCTTTTTTTTTAATTTGATTTGAAGACTTCGGGTATGCAGGTAGCACACCTCCCAGCCTGAGCACAACTCAGATTTTGATCACTCCACTTCACTTGTTGATTTCACTTTGTATTTCTCTTTCAGCACTTCCACCAACCAGTGTGGCAGTAAATAGTGAGGAAGATCAGGGGTAATTGGTTAACTTTGTTGGGTAAGATTTGGGGTAACCTATGATTTAAGCTGTTTATGGAAAGTGTGACGATACACCCCTTTTGCTAGCTACTGTCATCTATTCCGCATTTTTCCTCAGCTTTGAGGGTGAAAGAAAAGTAAGTATCTATAGTATCGGCGGGAAAAAATTAAAATTAAATTTTGTTCATCTTGAGACACTGAAATTCTGATAAAACGATATTGTAGGTATATTTCAACCATTTTCAACCCTTTATGAGGATATTTCGAATTTTCATCACGTTTGCAAGCGCTGAAGCCTATCTGTCGAATTAGCTCTACCTCCATTGCAGTTTCGATTGTTGTTAAGAGCGATCAAGACAAGTTCACGTTTGCTTCCACATTTTTTCTATGTTTTCATCGTATTTAATCTAACCCTCGGTCGAGGAGCTGTTCTGGACGCTGGACAGGAGTGCGGTGGCCAAGGCTTCGCCACCTGATCCGTAAATGAGGTGCGGAGATGCAGCGATGAAGCACGAGAGCGCTGAGTTGATCACCCCGAGCCCCATCCACCGCGGTCTGTCGCCGTAGCTGCCGTAGTAGGTGATTACGATGGACAGTAGTACCTGCGATACGTCGTTGCCAGCCAGGACGATGCCTGCAATGGCGAAATATGTCGCGAGACCAGAAGAGAAATTCCCAAGTATACGTCGTTGCCACATATGACGATGCATGCAATGCTGGGATATTCCGAGAGACTAGAATAAAAATTTTCAGTATACGTCGTTGCCAGCCAAGACGATGCATGCAATGGCTTAATAAATCAAGAGAATAGAAGAAAATTTTCAGTATACGTCGTTGCCAGCCAAGATGAAGCCTGCTTTGACAATATTAATATCGTTTACGATTAAAACTTAAAATGTGGACGATACTTGAAGCTTTGGTAACACAAAGCCAACTTGGGCAATGAAATATGGTCTAAAATGCAGTGTAAATTAAAAAAAACATCGATCAATTTTATTCTTAACTCAAAATCCAGCTAATTAGAAAACTATGCTTATGTTCGATCATCTAATTATTCGACAGAAAATTCAAGCTTAACTGTGAACTGAAAATATGAAATGAAAGAACGATCAGGTTCCTCAAACAATGAATCAATAATTAGAGTTCAACATTTTCACTCTAGTATTGGCGCTAAATTTTTCATGACCACCTGAAATTGATATAATAAACATTCTCCTCGAATGAGTTCATCATATTGCCTGAAGTTCATCTAATTGCCTCAGGTTCACTTATATGCACTCACGAAGAAAATCTATGAAAACCATTAAACTAAGGCAATGGTTTGGTAACATATAAAGAAGCCAGTATTTAAAAAATGCTCACCAGTTTGTTTGCTGCTCATGTCGAACCTCTTCTCTACTGTAGATATCACAGAGACAGTGTACGTAAAGAACATGCCCATCAATACGCCCACGATGTTGTATATTAACATGTAGATCTCTTTACGAGCCAGCATCTGCACAAGTTTGATAACCATTCAAATTTATTACAAAAAAAACTTTCTTTCATTCCCAAAATTTTTTTGGAAAACGTAATAGATTCGTTACATGAAACTGTTTAGTCCACAAGACAATTCTAAAAAATTGGTATGCCGCCTCTGTATTACACTGTAACAGATAGAAAAATCAATTTCTCAGCACAACACACAACGTTGAGAAAAATGCTCATTTCTACTGTTGAGAGTGAATATTACATATTAGAACTAAGCATTGTGATTCATTGCTTGTTCATTTAAACATGCATAAACTTTTGAATTCGGACATCAGCACTGAAGATTTTAAGTGTTCTTATACCTGTAGGAAGTTCGGCTTGCAGGGACCCAAGCCGCACTTGATGTCATCCAAGTCCATGTCAAGAAGAAATTGCTGCTCAGGTGAGAGAAAATAAATAATTTTGAATTGAAGTACAAAAATTATCAATGATGTATCAACGTAACCTGAATTTTTAATTTTTACACTTGTAACCTTTGCAAAGATTGTTTACGCATCGGTCTGAACAAAATTTTTGTTTCGGTTCCAATACAAAAATTGATTAAAGGGAATTTTTATCGGTGAACCTATACATAATGTTGTATGGTCATTTTAATTTCATATTAGGAATATAATAAAAAAATTATTTATATTTTCATTTAAATAAATCCATTTTAATTTAAATTATTACCTTTATTTCCATCTTCGACCTTCCCTCAGCCTCCTGGTCGTCCTCAGCGCCCTCGGCTGGGCTGGGCGGCAGCGCATCCAGCATGGCGTTGCTGGCCGTCAGAACGCTCCCGTCCATTGTTTATAATAATATCGAATGTAGTGAAATTTTTATTATTGCTACAGTAACTGATTAGAATTATAAAATAAAATACTAGGTTTCTAATGCTTACATTCCATTCCATATATATACGAGTAGCATTTTCGATATCTTTATCTACTATTGGTTAAGTAAATCTCGTTTCTATGAGACTTAGGGGTGTAGATTTATCATCAATAATATCATCATCAGCATGATACAGTGCGTGGATGGTTAAAATTCAGCTTTGAATATAAAGAAACGGATATACATATTGCGTAAATGATGTTTGATATTGATTATACTACAATTGTGTAGAGTGTAAGGCGAATTGTCGTGGTAGATAATTGTGTGCCGGAGCGATGTTCCCGGCAATGCATGCCAGCTAATTATCCGTCGTTCAATTATACGTGGCATTAGTGGCACCGAAATGTCAAGAAGAAATTGCTGCTCAGGTGAGAGAAAATAAATAATTTTGAATTGAAGTACAAAAATTATCAATGATGTATCAACGTAACCTGAATTATTAATTTGTACATTTGTAACATTTGCAAAGATTGTTTACGCGTCGGTCTAAACAATTTTTTTAGGTTCCAAAAATTACAGGTAATTCTTTTCGACAAATTTCTGAATGATGTTGTATGTTAATTTTAATTATTTATTAAGAATATATTACATTAATTATCTCTATATTAAAATTAAAGTTATTACCTTTATTTCCTTCTTCGACCTTCCCTCAGCCTCCTGGTCGTCCTCAGCGCCCTCGGCTGGGCTGGGCGGCAGCGCATCCAGCATGGCGTTGCTGGCCGACAAAACGCTCGCTTCCATTGTTTATATAAATATCGTGCCTAGAGGTATTTTTATTATTGCTACACTAATTGATTCGAAATATACAATAAGATACTAGGTTTCTAATGTTCACATTCTATCCCATAGGGGAGTTTTTTTAATAGCTATATCTACTATTGGTAGAGTAAAACTCGTTTCTCTGAAATTTGGGGTGTAGATTTATGATCAATAATATCATCATTCATCAGTATAATGAAGTGCATATATGGTTAAAATTCCGCTTTGAAAATTAAAAAATATATTCTGCGCAAACGATGTTTAATATTGATCATATGACAATTGTGTAGAGTGTAAGGTGAGTATTACAATCGTGGTAGCTAAACGAGAGCCGGAGCGATGCTGCCGGCAGTGTATGCACGCTAATTATATTTCAATTAATTATACGTGGCATTAGTGGCACCGATTCATCAAATAACTGCAGGGACTCGATTATTTCACTGATGAAAGGAATGAACGCATGGAATAATAAATACCTGAAGCTGTTTTTACCATAAGATATGTTCCTACAAATCTGAATTGTAGTCATTTTGTAGTCATTGTTGAGTGTAATATCTCGTGTACAGAGGCTAAAAGAGGTTACAGTTTCCAGGCATGTCAACATGAACGGTTCAAAATCAAGGTTAAGCGTCAAACGGAACATCATTCATTGCATGTTTTAAAATAATTGCTTCCTTTTATGCTGTTCGCCTAGCGGTTCTGTACGCTCCTCCACGTGACAGCTTGCAAATGCTCAAATAGTAATAACGTTATTTATCGACACCCAGAATACTGAATGTGTCATATTGCCCAAATATTGAAGCATTTTCTTACCCACAGCTCAGCAGAGAGTATAGACGTTGTACAGATATGTCTTTTCATCATGCAAAAACTGGTCAGGATGACCCACAAATTGGCAAAATATGCATCGCTAAGTGGGCAACGCACAAGTCTTACGCGTCCTTATTAGACTGACATGATTTACTGATTAACATATTGAAGAGGTGAGAAGAAATGAAGTGACTGTTTCTCATCCATATCGAAGACACGGCACGAAAATCGGCAACATTTGTATTTTCAATTAATACGTATCATTGTTAAATGATACGTATTGTTGACCTGATATAAATTTCAAATCCGTATGAGCATATTATTACTTATGAACATTATTATTAGCCATCTATTAGTTGTTCGAATGATACTCATCATAAATTTATTCTTTGCCTGTGCGCTGAATTTGTTATACATTTGATGTCAAGCGTCATTTTTGAGCCAAAGAAATTGGTAGGAATGCGCGACTCGGTCACTCGTTTGGTCTGAGGCCTCGAATGACATGGCAACTCAAGACCGCTTTTAAGGTGAGTCCAGCGGTAATTGACTTGAGACTGGGAATGGATTTATCAACGTACAATTAAGACTAGGATTGTATTTATTAACATGGCTATATGGAGAAGCTTCAAGAGTGGCCATGCGGCTCATAAGTCCTCGATCATTCGGTGCTTTACCAACTATTTTCGGTGCTTATTTGCTATTTTATGGTCTTGAATCTCTTGTATATTATAATTTTATTGGTTAGTGTAAATCGTTGATTATTCATTTCCGTTATTTTAATTGATACCAACATACGAGAATTAAAAACCAACATACGAAAATGTGAAGTTTCACCATTTTATTCATTTAATTTATTATATATACTCACGTCATAAACAGTATATTAAATCGTTATCACGAGATATAAAAAAATATAGTTTAATCTTGTACTTCGCCTATTCAGTTAAATATTAGCATTTACTTAGCATATTACTGCAATGCCCTGGTAAATAAACTATTTCGGAACACATTTTCTGGATAAACCACGTAATTTTCTTTCAGATATGCTGTATCAATATCGTGCTTATGGACAGATTAAGTAACCAATTAAATTGTAAATTATTAAGCATTATTTATGCGACTCGACACTGTGTATAAATAGAAGTCGTACATAACCTATTGAGGCTTTCAAACCGTAGATGAGCAATCGAAAGTACGAGTGGGCTACATAAGTTTATCAGATACGATAAGTTCACTGCATGGGCGATTCATTTATATTCATCCATGCCTATAGAATTGCACATTTACCGTTCTCGTGACGAGGTAATATGAAGTTTCATGCACCCACAAATGTGAGGTTGATTTTACATATGAGCGTCTGGTGCGAACTAGATTGGTCAAGAATGGAAATGGTATTTATTGTGATACATTCGAAAAATTGTATATACATATTCAATTAAATGTTTAATTATTATGGCTATACGTCGTCGATGTCAGGAACGACTTAATGCTCAAATCGCCTGATTGGATGGATGAATGTATCTCGTGCTAGTTAGGCCATTTTGATTCTATAAAAAATATTCTGTAGGCAGTTATTTCACTAGAAAAGGGACTGTAGACCGAACATAAGCTTGTTACTCGAGAAAAGCTGCTTTAAATAATGTGAAAAAATGTTAAAATGTTTTAAGATAAATAAATTGTTTGTAGTAAAACCAAACTGCCGATAACCGCAAAAAATTTTCATTATCGGTCAAAAGTCGACGCGGAAGCGTAGGATGAGAGAACAAATTTTCAGCTCTAATTTTTTCGAGTACGCGTGTAAAAAGATATCCAAAAATTAAGAAAGAATCATTTTGTATTTTTTGCATATTTGATTACTTGTAAAAAGCAGACCTGATTGAAATTTTTTTATGCAATATTTTCTGGCGTAGGTGCTGGAGGAGACACGTACCCTCAAATGTGAGTAAACATAGCCAAGTGATATATTCTAGCGTACGCTTAAAAAAGCCAATTGCAAAACTAAAAGAAAAAAATTGCATGGGATGTTTTTCAGCGAACGTTCGAAAAGCTAATAAAACAGCGAGAAGAAATTTCATGTGATATTTTTCAGTGGATTTCTCGCACGTGTAAGAGAGAAGATGGCCACATCTTGATCCCATTGGTCGCCTGCCGAAGACCACAACTGCCCTGGATGTAATGGACCATCATGATTCCTGCCTTCCGGAACGTCGCCTTCATCACTTCAAGCCGTCCGTATCTAAGCCGTGGGCCACTTGTCGAAAGACGATAAATTTTAGAACAGAACTATGCTATCTGAAACCTAACCTCAGATGCGGTGAACGTAAAATTACGCAATTTAACGATGCCCGGAAGTCAGATTCGATCCGCGGCCTGGTGGTGCACGGCATGTTCTATGCGAGGCCGGAGGAAGACAAAGCCGAGTGGTTCACGGCTGATTGGTGGATCTCCGGAGATATCCAAGGCGTTCGATTCAGGGTTTATTGGTGCACAAAATTGGTGGTGCACGGCTGCGCTCCCGATCCCCCATGACACAATACAGGTAGCATCAATCCGCAGCGCAAAAACGATGATTGTAGAAAGCAGCACAGCACATCCTAGCTGTAGAAAGCAGCGCAGAAGGATTTGCATTCAAGTGACTGGCGTCGTTGTCAGTAAAAGAATAGAAAACGCAAAATTTTACTCGTATGCAATACCTTACTATATTTTCCAGCAGGCTGATAGAATACCGCGGCTGAAAATTACAGCTATTTCTTAGTATAAACGCGGTTTACAAGTTACAAGCTATCTTGATTTTTGAACGCATTTAATACACTTTGATAATACGACATGATTTATATTCTAATGAAATACCTTAGACTTCACTTCTATAATATCACAATTAATGTCTCTTTTAGAGTTCGATTGCTGGAAAGTCAAACGTTCTAATGAAGCCAGTAAAAAATTCATGACCAGTAGAATGTTCACTCAAAATATTTCACTTAAAAATGTCTTTGAAACCCCGTTAAATTAGTGATCAAATCTTATTGAAATCCACGATATTCGTAATTAAAAATAATATGAATAAATTTCAGTTAACATACGATATTGAACAAATCAAGATAGAGGAGATACAACACGCAGGTGCTGCCGCCACCTGATTTATGCTCCCACTGAAGACTTTATTTCCTGCAAGTCATCAACCGTATGAACTTTGGAAGGCTGCCGCTCCTCATCGCCGCTAACATGTGGCGGCCACCATGACCATCATTTGGATGACAAATATTTTCCCGAAATTATGATTGTTGTTACGATGAATGATATGTTATTACTTTTGCATGTGGCAATAACCTCACCATCGTTTGATGATAAT